GTGTGGTGTGTGTTGTGTGTGTGTGTGTGTGTATACACAAATGCATGCACTCCCCTATTCATGTCTGTGGGGAGGCCAGAGGTTAGTGTTAGGTATCTGGTATCTAGTGTACTCCACCTCTATTGTGCTCCACCCTATTTTTTTTTTTTTTTTTGAAACAGAGTCTTCCCACTGAATCCTGAGCTCACCAGTTGGTTTGACTGGCTGCCCAGGGAAACAGGGATCCATTTGTTTCCTCTCCCATTCTTTCACATACTGGGGTTACAGATATGGGCACCACGTGTGGGTTTTATATTGGTGCTGAGATACAAACTCAATACCTCATGGTTGTTCAGTAACACTACCTTCTGACCCATCTCCTCAGCCCTTTCCTTCCTGTCTTTTGCATCCAGTAATTTCTCTAGAATTTTCCTTAAAAGTTAGCTTTCAATTGTGTCACTTTGGAGTCTTGTACACTGTAGTTTGTGTGTCAGTCCCATCCTAGACTGATTTTTTCTTTTTAGAAGGGCCATTTGTTTTTGTTTCTTTATGTATCCATCCCCCTTGTCTACCATCTGTACATGGCAGATGCTCCATAAATATTTTCGGATGAATGACTGTTGTGATTCATTCTAGTTATTTGACATGTTTGCTGTGGAGGTCAGGGCCATCCTGAAGTCTGTGGTTGGTTTCTAAATGTAGGATTCTTTGGCCATTTTGTTTTCTACAGAGTTCCACTGATGGGGTCATGGTGAGGACAGGGTCACTGCAGCTCAGTAGCTCGTCAGTAGGAACTTTGTCTCTGAAAAGAACAAAGCGAAAAGCACCCGCCCCGCCTTCGAAAACACCGGTGCAGCAGAATGACACCAGCCTTGCATCTGATACTGGTATTCTCTTGTGAACAGTACATTGGCTTTGGCTTTGCATTTTAATACAGTCAGTAAAAGCAGTAAAAAGTAAAAAAAAAAAAAAAGCAGTCAGTAAAACCATGACTTTTGTTTTCCCCCTTTTAAACAGTCTTTCACTATCCTTAGCTGGCCTAGAACTCCCTAATCAGAACAGACTGGCCTCAGACTCACAGAGATCTGTCTGCTTCTGTCCCTGAGTGCTGGGATTTAAGACTTGACTCTTAAATCTCTCTCTCTCTCTCTCTCTCTCTCTCCCTCTCTCTCTCTCTCTCTCTCTCTCTCTCTCTCTCTTTCTCTCTCTCTCTCTCTCTCTGTACATACATACATACATACATACATACATACATACATACATTCTTTGTCTATCTATCTCCATGTGTGTGTATATATACTAATGATACCAGGCTTTTAAAATGGTCTGATTATTCTCACTTAACTGCTTTTGGAAAGTCTGTAATGAAAAACGGCAAAATTATACCACTTCATTATTGTAATGAGCTTGTGAGCAGTGTGCAGATTTATTTAGAAGATACGAACCACGTTTCCTGGTTTGACTACTTAGGAATGGGGATGGAGGGTGAATGTAGTCATTTTACAGCTGCACGGTAAATGACCTAATAAGTTTAAGTTCATCATTCTTGGACTATGTAAAAGCAGAAAATTTCCTCAGGGGTTGTTTCTCATCAGGGTGTGACTTTTTTTTTTTTTTTTTTTTTTTTTTTTTAAAAAATCAGTTTTGTTGCATCTTTCAGCCCTTCCTCCAGAAGATGGACTTGCTCCAGACAGCGCTGTGGAAGCAAACTCTCCTGAGGGCCTGTCCAGCCCAGGTATGACTCCCATCACTGCACACTGCAGTTGTGACAGAAAGAAATGTCTTGACAGTCAAGAAATGGAGATTTGAATTCTTTGGCCTCCTTTCCCCACATTGGTACTGTGAAACAAACCCTTTGTTTCCTCCCCCGAGGATTAGATGCTAGGATAAGAAACTGGCAGAGATGAAAATTTCAGTTCTGGAGGTGGATCCCCAAGTGCTCTCTCGATTTGGTCTCTTGTTTTTCCTTATGGCACTATCTAGTGGAGAGCTAGCAGCCTTCGTCTAGGTAGGGTACACCACGGTGGGAAGATTCATTGGTTATGTTTCAAAGACTTAAACTACAGTCTTTCCAAAACTGCTTCCGGAATGAATTCTGCATTTATGCTGTCCTACTCTAACAGTGAATGTTGTCCGCATGCAAATACTTCCCACCACATAGCTCACATTGCAGATTCTCCCCAAGTAAATGACTTTAAAAAATAATAAAACAGTTCAATCTGTTTTTTAAATTTCAATGATAACTTCTTAGTAGCTTTTGTAAGAATAACTATGAACTGGGTTTAGTGGTGCCCGTCCGTAATTCCAGCATTTCTGAGGCTGAGGCAGGAGGATCCATAGTATCAGGCCAACCTTCCACAAGAAGAAAAAAAAAATACTAAAAATGTCTCACTCTTAGTACATTAGCATGGCAATGTTGCGAGTGTGACTACCTGCATCGTACCATTTATAGTCACAAACTTGGGCGAGTTTAGGTACAGCTGACCTTGAATCTTGACTCTTATTTGGTACTTAGGAATTTGAGATTTTAAATTGTAAAGGAATCCCCTGTTTATGATTTAAGACACTACTATTATATATGTAGTAATGCTTTTTTTTTCTTAAAACAATCTTAACAAGATCATCTCATTCCATACAGGAAATTTATCAGATAATGTGACCATCATTAAAATATATCATGGAAATAGGAGGTTTTGAAGTTTCTGAAAGATGGGCAGGCTTCTCAAACTTTGTCCCATGTTTATTTCTCACTTTGCCTTTTCATAACTATTCCGTGGGTCAATGTGAGCTAACAGCACTGATTTCCCACTGTATCTTGATATCTGCTTGCTTTGTTTTAACTCTCTTGTCTAAGTGCCATTTCCACAGACTCTACTTCTTTGGCAGAGGGCTCCCTTGGCCCCGGGTTCCTAAACCAGGAGCAGTGCACTGTGCCCAAGCCGGCGGATGAACTCTCGCTTTCTGAGGGCCCTGGAACTCCAGAGGCAGCTGTAGCATCCTTGACGTGTAGGTGTTCAGGCCTTAACTGGCTGTGGCTTTGGTCTATGCAGAGGAAGATGCCATTGAGTATAGATCAGATTACTTATTACACTCTAAAATGTTTCATAAGTAAATATGTCATTTATGCCTTTATCCAGGTTTATAATGTGTGGTTTTCTTTAAGCATCTAAATAAGCAGAGCAAAATGGGAGGGAAGTCACTCAGTGGCTCTGAGGAGCAGTTTTGCTTGTATTTGGTATCCTACTGTTCTGAAGGGCTGCTTGAACTTGATTATTTTCAATGAGCATATATAGGGGAATATTTCCAAGGATTCTTTATTGAACTAGCCCTGTGTTAGCTGTGTGGCTTATTTTCTCTACTGTTATTCTCGGATGCCTTTTCTCTTTTTAAAGTTGGATTATTTTGTTTTAAGATAGCACAATGTTATAACTGTATAAAACTTAGATCTCCTCATAAAAGTGACTCATTTTTAAATAATTTTTGACTTAGTTGTCTAAAATTAGATACAGTCACATGTTTCTTGTGATAGTGCAAAGTTGTTTGAGGACTTTGGCAGTTAGGAGAATTTTGGGTGGTGATGGAGATTAACGCCAAAACTTCATGCTAAGAGGGTAGGGATCTACCACTGTGCTATCATGTAGCCCTTAGCAGGGTATTTAAAATGAAATGAGCATACTCATTTCCTATATAACTCAACAAGCATTGCCCATTGGTAATTTTTCAAGAAAAATGAAAGTGCAAATATACATAAAGCCTGCAGTTACAGAATCCAGCGTGGTAATTGCCTCCAAAGGGGAAAATACCCAAATATTTTTAAATTGTAGACAGTTAAGTTTTAACCCATCCATACATCACAGTACAATGCTGACTAGAAAGAGAAGTGTGTTTAGGATTAATTTAATAGAACTATATGTTACCAAAGGCACAATATCTGTCAAGCAATTTTTTCCATTTTGATGACAACCAGGAAAAACATGTGGTACCTAAAAAGACATATTTAAATGTTAAGTTTAATAGCGTCAGAATTCAAATGTTAGCCAACATATTATTTGAAATATTAGTTACATTTCATCTTCATGCGTTTCAAATTTTTTAAATTCAAATTCCTTAATATTTTTTGTCTGTGTAATCAAATCTTTGTGAAGGAAATAATCAGCAGTACTAACTTAAACACTAGCACCTTTTGGAACTTCCTTTTTAGACCAAGCTGACCAGAAACACATAGAGACCCACTTGCCTCTGCCTCCTGAATGCTGGGATTAAAGACATATGCAGTGTACCTGGCATTGATTTTGTTTTGTTTTGAGGTTTTCGTTGTTGTTTTATATATATTTTTTGGAAAGGTTCTTGCTGTGTTGTTCATATTAGCCTAAAATTCTTAGGGAGATGTCATCCTCCTGCCTCAGCCATCCCAGGTGCTAGTGTTGGACATAATCAAGACCCACTCAGTGTTATTTTCTCCCTCACTCCCTTTTTTCATTTTGTTTTTTGGGGGGGACAAGTTCTCTCAATATAGGCATGGCTATCCTAGAACTCACTGTAGACCAGGCTAGTCTTGAGCTCATAGGTATTTACCTGTCTTTGCCTCTCAAGTACTGGTACTAAAGGTGTGCAACCCCACTCCTGGCTCAAAGATCAGAAGTTAACACCCGTTCCTGTCTAGAACTAAAATTAAACTTCAGTTACAGTTTGTGGATGGTCTGACCACTGTAGCAGTGGTAACATGACCTCACTGCCCTCTTGCCAGATAAAATTAAAGTTCATTCAGATGCTCTCATGTAAATGGAAATGTTTAATTTGTTTAAGCAAAACTCCTGAGCCTCATGGAGAGTTTAACCTTAACAGTTGGCATTGGCAAAAATGATGAGCACTTCGCTGCAATGTAAGAAATAATGATAAAAAGTTCTTGTGGAATGAAATAATACCCAAACTGTTGAAAAGAACTGCACATATATACGTATCAGTAAGTGATAAGACTTAGGTATAGTAAGTGTGGTGTATGGGGGGCAGGGATTAAGACATTGAGTGTACCATATTTCAGTTTAAATTAACATAAAAGAGAAAAATGGAAACTTAAGTGGGGATACCTGCTTATGTCTGTTTGTTATACTTTCTGAAACATAGGAAAAAGTGTCAGAAGATGCTGCTTCAGTTAGACATGCTGGGTTGTGTCTATATTTCTCAGCACTCAGGATTAGAAGAATTTGAGGCTAACCTGTGAAGCACAAGACTCAATCTTAACAACAAAGGAAAATTAAAATGAGAACAAGAAAAAAAAAACCCAAAACAAAAACTAGAACTGGGTCTGCTGCCTCAGATTTGTAGTTCTAGCTACTCAGGAAGTTGAGGAAGGAGGATTGCATGTCTAGGCCTTCCTGGCTACAGAGCATATTCAAGGCCAATCTGGGAAATTTACAGGGAATAATAACTATAAAATGGCTTCAAACATAGCTCAGTATGTAGCACAGTCGGTATTACCTAGCATGAATGAAGTCAAAGACAGGGTTAGTATAGCATATCTAAGAAGAGAAAAAAATTAATTTGCAGTATTTGATCTTTGTTTTCCTTTATTAAAAATATTAGGCAGTTAGGTAAGTGGCTTTTAGTTTAAACTGCACATTAGAAACACCTAAAGAATATTCTCAGCTCTTGACCCCAATATGCAGAGGATTCTAATTTAGTTGGAGAATGTCTGTGAGCATCAGTATTTCCAAAGGACACCCAGATACTCTGAATTGTATTCAATTCTGATATCTAAGGAGACAGTCTGTGGGCATACTAGTAGACAGTACAAAAATCTCATATTCAATTAATCTGCATTTTAGGCTACTTAGTTGTCTAATTCACATTATTTTTTACATTAACTCTAATGTTACCTAATGAAAGGTATTCATTCCTAAATGCAGTATATGACATTTAGAAGATTAACCTTCCATCACTAAAGCTCAGAGTGGTAGAACATGATTGTAGAATGATATGAATGGGAAATGGTCTGCTTATATGCAATGTGACCATTCACCATTAGAAAAGCATTTCACTATTAATTTGGACTCTCTGTTTAAGATGCTAGCTAATTGTTGTTATTAAAACCTCTTCCTTGCTAGATTGTGTAGGATGAACAGGGCAGATTGGTATTTAGGGATTATTTCTGCATTTCTTTGTAGCTGGTGTGAGCTCGGATTACAGTCTTGAAGAGATAGATGAAAAGGAAGAACTGGGTGAGTCTTGTAAAGATCAGGCGCAAAGTATTTCAGTGAAGTCACCTGACATCCCTTCGGTATCTACTGATGTAGTGAATACATTGGAGAATGATCCTGACTCGGCTCTCAGCCTCAGTGATGGAGAGGCCTCTCCAAGCTCCAAAGGAAAAATCCAAGAAGGCACAGACACAGAGGGACAGTAAGTAGTTTCTAGGCCACAAGTAGTGGTGGTGGTTTGTTTAGGTAATGCTGTTGTTCGGACAGAAAGCTGATATTTTAAGCTTAGGTATAGTTGGCCATTTTGTTTAGGTTCTATCTCTCATACTGTCCTTGTAAAAATGCTTCTTAATAAAGTAGCAAGCTACATGTGATTGTCTTCAGATGAAACCCAAGCAAGAGTTGTAGTATCCCCATGTCAGGTAACCATAGCATATAAGTTAGTTAATTTGTGTGACTCAAAAATAAAAGTTTCCACTTGTTCCATACATTTTGTTCATTATTTGTTTGACCTAAATAATTCATTGAGTTTTTCACTTTGTACTGGATGCATCTGAGGATTTTCACTGCCTGGACTGTGAAACTGCTCTGTAAATTCAAAGTCAATTAAGCCACCAGCGTTGTTTATAGTCAAGTCTGAGATGCAAACAGCACTGATCATTGATGCAGGAATTCTGAAAACTCCTCTAGTCCACTGTGAACTACTGTGAATAAAGTTGACATCAAACAAGCAAAAAAAGGTTTCTTTATTAGAAGTTTACCTAATTTACATGGGATTGTCTCCAAATTAAACTCTCTTGTCACCAGAAGAAAAAATAAAAATCAGTGAGGTCAATTCCCATCCTGATTTATATAGGAGACTTTGCCAGATGCAAGGATAAAATGTTCCATTTCATTTCCTTTTCTCATTAAGAGAAAAATAGCTTCTAACAACTAAGTAAAGACATTTATTTGGAAATGCCCCTTTTTACCAAGCCTCTTACATCCTTTTAGCAGTAGGACAAGTTTACTGAAGCTAATGTTTCATGGCAGCATTTCCTCTGTTATATTTCTCTAATATTTGGCAGCAAAGGGTGATTATTTCAATCCATCTGTCTTTGAAAGAAGTATTGCCTGTTTTTTTTTTTTCATGTTGTGTTTGAATAACCTCCACATATCATGTACAATGTCATGTCTTCCAGAGGGCCACATAATCCTGTTGTATGTGATATAAGCAATGAAGACACAGTATCTGACAGTTTAAGAGACTTGAAGTCATTGGGCCCAAGCCAAGAGAATGGTGAGTGTTACAAACACAGGAGTCTAACACAATGTCATAGACTGTAACAAACCAAGGACTATCCTTAAAACAGGTTGAATCAGTTTTTTCATGTATCGACCCATTTAATATCTGTCTTCCTTTATGAATATCATGGGGACTGTTACTCTTAGTCTCACTTTACACAAGAGTAAGCCTTGAAGATACTGTCTCACATTTAGTAAGTGGTGGATGTAGGATTTGAACAAGAACTGTATAATTCCTTCCACAGTGGGTTCTTAGCTTTCATGTCTGCATCTCATTATATTGTTCTACCTTTTGATGCTATCTAACTTAAACTTCATATCTTAAAGTTGTGTCCTCTGTGCATCTATCTGTGACCTGAGTTCCTCTCAGTTCCCTAGTACATGCTTTTACTTCATACTCAAATTGCCACACTTTGAATGAAACTTGCTTGCCTGATTTTCAAGCCATATAATTACAAAACATCACTTGCCACCATTTCCCCATTCTCACCCAAGTTGAAGCAGTTTCTTGTTTTGTTCATGATGTAATTGGTTTACTTCTGCCAGTTGGCGTAGGGTCGTGCTGTCCTTGTATAAGAAACTTTCCATCTCCTTCAGCCATTCAGTTCCTATCCACACCCTTCTGTGTTAACTTTGTTACTTGATTACTGTAAGGCATGCACTTCAGTATTCCTGACTTTCTAGCCAAGTTTCACAGTGTTAGGTCAGGGAATTCAATCTATGACTTCGTGTGAAATCTTTATAGCCCATAACAAAGTTGAACTTCAAAACAGAATAATGCAGATGGGCAGTGATGGCGCATGCCTTTAGTCCCAGTACTTGGGAGGCAGAGGCAGGTGGATCTCAGTGAATTTGAGGCCAGCCTGGTCTACAAAGTGGGTTCCAGGACAGCCACAATGGTTACGCAGAGAAACCCTGTCTGGAAAAACAAACAACAACAAAAACAAAAATAATGCTCAGAAGAGAATTCAAGGAATATGTGATAATGCATTCTGAGGGAATGAGAAGGAGGCTTATGAGTGTTTATAGTCCAATCTGTGTTAAGTAAAAAAACTTTAATAGTCGTTTTAAACAAATACAGGGCCATAGAATTCATATTTGGAAGGAGATGTTGTAGTTGTTGTTGTTGTTATGAAATGGCTAATTCCAATATTATTGTTGTAGTTGCTGTTTTGTGTGTGTGTGTCCTCCATATAACACAGAATTTTACAGCTAATGTGAATGTGTTTATATCTGATTCATTTTCTCCATTCACAGTACTCTTTTCTGATACTATATTAAAATGTTCTAAAGCTCTTCATTAGCAATAGTATTGCTATTGTAAGTCACGATTTTATAACTGCTTCATTTGGGAGTCAATTTACTTACTTATTTTTTAGTGCTAGGGTTTGTATACAGGGCTTTCCACACAGAGGATGGGTGTCTACCACTCAGGTATGAGTCCAGTCTTCAGAGCTCTTCCTTCAGTTGGCATCTGACACACAGCTATAGTTTCAGTACTCAGAAGGCTAAGACTAGCCATGGTTAAATAGTGAGATTATCTAAAAATCAATTCCTTTTTTCAAATTTGACAGTCACATCAGTAAGATTTTGACACTAGATTAGTGCTAGGTTATTTGTAAGTGTATCTCAGTAATATTTTCTGTCACGTACATGTACTTTGTAGCAACCTTTGTCAACTTACAGGCTATTTTAAAAATTATTTTCTAGTATCCATAAGGTATTTTATTACATTTTTTTCACCATATGCAGTTCTCTGTACCACCATTTTGTTCCATTGTAGAAGTCAGTGTTAGTTTTGAATAGAGGGAAGGAAAGAAAAGTAATGCAGTAGCTACCTTCTCCTTTATCGTCATCTCTTGGGCAATGGTGCAGCCATTCCTAGACATTTTGTGAGCATCGTCATTAGACGTGAATGAGGGTGGGCAGCTGATGAATTCAGTGGTGGGTCCAGGTTGTCTTCTTGACAGTCTTTGGGAATAATTGTGACATGTTAATGAGAAACAGAGTGATTAATAAGTCAACTCATTGGAAATTCAGACTTTAACACCAGTAAGTTAGAGTTGCTTATTGGTGATCTATACAAATAGTTTTACACTTAATTATTTTCTCTTAGAAACTGCCATTCTATTTTCCATGCCCCATTGCTTGCCTTTGTATAATTACGAAGCTGAAAATGGTATGTAGCACTCAAATCATCCACTTGTAGATTTGGGTGAGACACATTGAAAAACTGAATTCTCCCTCATTTTAACATATATGCTTGACAGTATTTCTTTTTTTTTTTTTTTCCTCAGTAGTTCAAAATGAAATCATGGTCTGTGCCACAAACACAGATTATGTGAAAGACTGCCTGAGGAAAACAGAAACCTCCACAGAAAGCCAAGCCTCAGAGAAAGCCGTGGACGTGGAAGCTGATAGACTATCCAGCTTTCCTGCATGTAGAACGGATCATGTTAAAAGCTCTAGGGAAAATCATCTAACAGCACCATCAGGACCAGATCAAAAATTGAATCAACCAAGTGTAGAAAAGACAAAAACGCAAGATGCAGCAATTCAGGCAACCCCTGCCAGCAGCAGTTTTGATGGGAATCACGAAGACCATAATTCGTCTGACCTCAAGGTTGATGAAAGTGTGCAAACTTCAAATAGCAGCAGATCAACTCAGCATTCCTCCTCAAGTCTCAGTGATCCTGAAAATGCCTCAAAAGCATTCAGGAGTCAGGGCACCCCAACACCTGTCCAAGATAGACTCCCCATGAAAGAGCCAGCCACGTGTGCATATGGGAACCACAACTCTTTGTCTCCTGTAGACGGAAATGATAAGAATCCAGCTGCTTCTTATCTGAAGAATTTTCCGCTTTATAGACAGGACTATAATCCCAAACCAAAACCTTCAAATGAAATTACAAGAGAGTATATACCTAAAATTGGAATGACTACTTACAAAATAGTGCCCCCCAAATCCCTGGAAATAGTGAAAGATTGGGAATCAGAAACAGTGGGGAATAAAGATGACCAAAAGATGCATGCTGAAGGGCAGAAGCATATGCTTGGGAATATGGAACAAACAGCCATGCAGACAGAAACCCTTGTTACTTCCAAAGGCTCACAGGAGCCTCAGCCTGATCTTAAGCCAAAGCCAGGCTTAGGCACAGAGCAGCATTTGCACAGGACTCTGAGCGTTGGTTCCGAGATGAAGCCTCCAAAACCTCCCAGAATGACGATGGACACTGGTGGCATTCCTTTTGCACCAAATTTGGAAGATATAAACAACATTTTGGAGTCAAAATTTAGATCTCGAGCTTCAAATCCCCAGGCCAAACCAAGTTCATTTTTTCTGCAGATGCAGAAGAGAGCATCAGGCCACTATGTGACTTCTGCAGCTGCTAAGAGTGTGCACACTGCTCCTGGGCCTACCCCCAAATCACCAACAACCAAAGAGGTGCAAAGGGACCCCTGGACCCCTCCAGAACAGATTCTTTCTCCCTTAAGTGAATGGACTCATTCTGCTCAGCTGCCCAGTCTTTCAAAAACTGATGGTGACACTACCATCCAAAAGCCTGCTGAGATCTCTCTTCCTCCTGTAGCTCCCAAGCCTGTGGCTCTTCCTGCTGTGACCTCTCCTCCCCTTGTAGCTCCCAAGCCTATGGCTCTTCCTGCTGAGACCTCTCCTCCCCCTGTAGCTCCCAAGCCTATGGCTCTTCCTGCTGAGACCTCTCCTCCCCCTGTAGCTCCCAAGCCTATGGCTCTTTCTGCTGAGACCTCTCCTCCCCCTGTAGCTCCCAAGCCTGTGGCTCTTCCTGCTGAGACCTCTCCTCCCCCTGTAGCATCCAAGCCTGTGGCTCTTCCTGGTAGTCAGGGAGCATCATCACTAAACCTGAAGACCTTGAAAACTTTCGGGGCCCCACGACCATACTCCAGTTCTGGCCCCTCACCCTTTGCCCTTGCTGTGGTAAAAAGGTCACAGTCGTTCAGTAAGACACGTCCAGAGTCCAGTGAGGGCTTCTCCGCCCAGCCTGCAGACACGGAGGGTGAAAAGACATATGCAGTAAATAAATCTGCCGTGGTTGCCCAACCTGATGATGATGATGATGATGATAAGGTAAGCCTTAGCTTTTCGAATATAAATAATCAGATTCCAGTACGACTTGGTTAAAGTAGGGGGCAGCCCATTTTATACCAGTGCTTTAGTATGTTCATGTATTGCTTAACTCTGAATTACATTGCACTCAGCTATAGTTATAAGGTCATTGTTACGTAATTGTATCATTAGCAAGTATTTTAAAGTTTCTTTATTCATGCACATGTATAATTGCTGAGTGTAGAATAGTGTCTATTTTCTTAACTATTTTGGGTATTGTGGTTTACTTTATTTTTCATCCACCTTTATAGAATTATGTAATAGCCAAATAAATAGTTTTAATTGTTTGAAACAAACAATATACAGGACTGAAAGGGGCCCAGAGTGTCTCAGTGGTATATTTCTCATTACATGTATCCAACTTCAGCTTACCAAACATATCACATATAACTTAATTTAAAATGAAAGTGGCTTTAAACTGTAGTTTTCATAATTATCCATTATGTTAATTCCCATTACATGCATGTAGATCAAAATACCATCTAACCATGGTAATTTTTAAAAAGTCCCGTTGACCTGAATTGTCAACTAAGCATCTTGCTTTCTGAATTCCCATAGAATAGTCAAAGGAGGTGATGGAATTCACAGTGTGGTTCATGGTAATCCACAAGCCATCTTTTAAAAACTACTTCGTGTCCTCTACTCTGGTAGTGTTTAAAGAAAACTTTCCTGTTTGTGTGACAGCTCCCGAAACATTTTCTACAACTTTCTCAAACATTCCCAGACTACAAGAAGAATGACCCTGATGCCAAGTGAATATTTCTTTTTAATGTTGAGGCAATATCTTGAAGAATATCTCCTCATACATTTGACATTTATGCTTAGTAGTTTAATCCAGCATCAGGAAGTGATGTGTGATACAGAAAATTCTGGACTTGGAGGTGGAGCCTGCATTTTCCCTGAAATGGATCACCATTGCTAAAGAATGCAAGCTCCATTTACATGATGGCAGTTTTGATTTACTGCCTCAGCCTTATTTAGTTTATTTAAACAGTAAAGATATGAATTTGACAGTTTGCAAAAGACATTTTTAGGATTACTTGATATAACACTTCCCAGTTACATCAGTTACTAAATATTTGTTCTTAAGAGGTTTAATTAAATTTCTGATTATTTAACTTGGAAGTTCTTAACATTTATTTTTAGTCTAATGGGTTAAAAAAAAAAAGTCTTGGTCAGCCCATAGTTCTCGTTGCTCCTGGAAACAAAAAACTCAGGCCATTATAGTGGAGACACCAATATTCCCTTGTTGCATGGCATATGGGATTGTAAAGTATGAAATGGTCAGTATTCAGCTACCTTATACATTTGCCCAAATGTGTTAGAACCATAAAAATGGGTTATTTTTCAGTTTGTGGATTTTTTTTTATCATGAGTTTTGGCTTTGGTAGCCAGTTCTATGTATTGGCAATATCAATGTTCTTTGATTTACACACAGTAAAATTACTACTTTATTCATGAAACAAAAAGAGGTAGCATTTCTCTTCCACAGCTTCCTAAGCTGAGAAAGTAAGGTATATAGTTCATCTCCCAACTGGACTCTACCAACAGAGATAACCAAGTGAAGGGTGGAGATAGGGAACTGTGTCTGTGTCATTAGGATGGCATGTGGTGGTTTCAAAAGAGCAATTGCTAGCACAGTTTGTAAAATAGGCCTTTCTTCTCTTGGAACTCATAAAAAAAGTTTTGCATTTATTTTTCATAGCATAACAAACCTGTACAGAATGAACAAAGTTCTCACATGCTGACTCCAGCTGACGGCCCATCGTTCACCCTTAAGAGACAGAGTTCTTTAACATTCCAAAGCTCTGACCCAGAGCAGGTCCACCAGAGCTTGCTGACCGCAATCCGTTCTGGAGAGGCTGCCTCCAAGTTAAAGAGAGTAAGTTTTCCCTAGCAGATGGGTGACAGTGCTCTATTTTCATCCTTGTTAAACTAACACTTAAGTGTGGGAGGGGCATTCTCCTAACAGTCAAATATCAATAGGAAAGATGCCAGAAATTACTCTTTGGCTCCAGGAGTCATTTTTGAGGTATAAACTGAAGGATCCAGAATCTGACACATACATCAAAGCATGTCAGTTTTTCTTTTTTTCCACTGTGTGGGCCAGGTTCAAAATATGACTGTATTCATTGTTGAGTGTAGAAAGCTAGCCTTGACTCTTATTTTAAGAAATTATGTTAGCACAGTAAGAAAGATTCTCTTGAAATGCATCCTCCCCACCATCCCCCCCACCCCCACCCCCAGAAAAGGTGAGGACTTTTACCAGTGGGAATGTTGATGTTTGCAGTCATCTCTCCATGGTCAAAGTAACTATTGCATGTGAGTTTTAGTGAGTTACAAAAAGCAACCTAAGTTTAAAAAAAAAGTAGAGAGGACTCTAGAGAATGCAGAGGAGAATTCTTCCAGAGTCTATATTTATTTATAATGCCCACCATGATCCAGCCAACCTTGCTTTGCTATAGGAGAGCCATGAGATGGAGGTGTGATTCCTCCAGACAGAATGTGAGTGGCAGGATGAGTCCTACCTATCTCCACCTGCTTTCCCTGGGAAAGGAGAGCACAGGGCAGGTTGACCAGCCATTGCCGTGGATGCTACTCGGTGGTGCTGTGAGAAGCGCCTCAACATGGGCATTCTGAATCCCCTGACTGACTGGGTATTTTATGTTGTGACCTCTGTTGATGATCACATCAGAAGCTGAGAGACCTGCCAAGTAAAACTTTGAGTTCCACAGAAATTAAAGCCACAAAGGAATAGAAGTGCAGAAAAAACAGAAGAAAGGGACAAGTATCTTAGGTGTTCCATCCATACCAGCCTTTGCCATGCAGAACTGTTTAAGGTAGCTACCTCTGAGTGCGTGCATGCGTGCGTGCGTACCTTACTGTTGTTCCAAGAGACTTGGCACTTCCTTCTGGGCAAGAATTGAGACAAAGCAAAATATTAAGTGCTTTCAAGAATGCTAGAAACACCAAGGAATAATTCAGAGGACAGATTTGATTATATATTTATTATAGATTATATATAAGTACCAAGGCAGAAGAAAAGTTCATGTAGGTTTAAATATTGATATTAATATTTTATCAGTCCTCACAAATTTGTCAAGAGGGAAATATGCTAGTGTCAATAAATAACCATTCTTGTTTATGAAAATATTTATTTCTGTTTTTTATCCAGGAAGTGACACATGAGTTTCAAGCCAATTACCACCAATCTGAGATTCTTAAATTCGATAAATTTTAGACGCATTTTACTAGACACAGAGGACAGAAAGGTGAATAAGCCAAGCCATTGCATTCTATGTAGCCTGGGCCTGAAAAGAAATGTTGCATTGGATCCCCAGGAGAGCTCAGTGCCTACACAGGAACTGGTATTGAACTGCAAATGTGTTTCAAGCCAGCAGCTGGATATAATGGTGGATTTCTGGGCCTGATTTGACAGGACTTTCATATAGTAAACTCTCACTGCTTCCAGAAAGAGCAGGATCAGAACCACCAGAAGGGGGCCTAAATGATGTGCCTATAATTGTATCCTATTTAAAACTCATTACTTTAGATTCTATTGAGTATAAAACTTCATCTCATTGAGTACGAAGTTATTAACAGCTTGGAGCCTGTAGAGTGCCAACTCCTAAGATTTTTTTTAAATGAACATTTCATACATAATCTGTTTAATTTCACTAACAGTGGTCAAAGGAGCTAGTAATGGTCACAGTCTCTAAACTCAATGACTATATACTAGAGCCTTTCTGCTCTAGTATATATCCTTAAAAATGGCTTTAGTATACCAAGACTTACATATAACAGTGCTTATGCCATATCTTTTGTAAGGTTCCAAATAACTATAACTCTAATTCTAAAAATAATAAACAATAGCATTTTCGAAGAGCAGACCATCTTACGGGAACATTTTTTGAATGTTCTTTGATAGTTCATACGTTTATACCATGTCTGTTGTCATGTCCATCTTCCACTACTGCCCTTTTGCTCCCCTGTCTGCTCCCCCATCTCCCTGCCAACTTCATATCCTCTTTGAGGAAGTGTTTGCATTACTTCTCTGGGACTTTCATATGAGGTATTTTATTAATGTCATTCCCTTGCCCTGTTCTTCCCAGATCTACTTCTCATTCCTTACCCAATTCTGCGTTGTCTTCTCCTCCTCCTTCTTCCTTCTTCTTCTTCCTTCCTTTTCTTCCTTCTTCTTACTCTTCCTCCTCCTCCTCCTCCTCCTCCTCCTCCTCCTCCTCCTTTTCTTTTTTGTTAAACCCACCAAGTCCAATTTGTGCTTGGAAAAGTGTGGTTAACTACCACAGAGTCACACCCGTAAAACGGATTCTCCCTTTGCCAGCAGCTATCAGTTGTCAGTCGCTCCTCAGGTGGAGGTGGGGCCTCATGCAACTGATGTGTGACACCCAGAACAGAGTTCCCTTGTAGTCATCCACTACTTCTGGCTCTTTCAGTCTTTCACCTTCCTCTTCCCCAAAGATCCGTGAACCTAGGGAGGAGGAGTTATGATATAGATTCCTATTTATGGAAGAGTATTTTGTGGTTATCCATTTATAAATCTTGACCAGTCATGAGTCTCTGTGTAAATTTCCATCTACTGCAAAAAAGAAGCTTCTTTGATCCTCAGGAGAGGCGCCCTAATCTATGAGTATAATGATAATCATCCGGATATTATTTAATACTGTGTCTGTCTATTTAGTAAGAATAATAGTTTCAGGTTTCCCCCTAGGGCCTCTGACCTGTCTAGCCAGAGGTTTGTGAGTTCTAATAACTGTCCAGCTATGGGTTTCACCTTGTGGAGCAGGCCTTAATCGGAAAAAAGCAATGGAATATTGAAATTCGCAGGCAAATGGATGGAACTAGAAGAAACCATTCTGAACGAGGTAACAAAAAGACAAACATGGTATGCACTTATTCATATATGGATTTTATACACAGAGCAAAGGATTACCAGCCTACAATCCACACCACCAGAGAAGCTAGACAACAAGAAGGACTCTAAAAGAGACATACATGGTCCCCCGGAGGAGAAAGGGACAAGATCTCCTGAGCAAATTGGGAGCATGTGGGGAGGGAGAGGGAGCTAGGAGAATGAGAAGGGGAGAAGAGGAGGGGTGAGGACGAAATAAGGGAGCAAGAAGGTTGTGTAGGGGGAAGAATAGAGGAGAGCAAATTAAGAGATAGCATCAAAGCAGGAGCCATTATAGGTTTAAAGTGAAATCAGGCACTAAGGAAATGTCTAGAGATATACAAGGATGACACCAACTCACCATCTAAGCAGCAGAGGAGAGGCCACTTTAAATGCCTTCCCCTGATAATGAGATTGACATCTAACTTATATAATACCCTAGAGCCTTAATCCAGCAGTTGATGGAAGTAGAAGCAGACACCCACAGCTAAACACTGAACTGAATTGGAATCCAGTTGCAGAGAAGGAGGAGTGATGAGCAAAGGGGTCAAGACCACACTGGTGAAACCCACAAAAACAGCTGGCCTGAACAAGAGGGAGCTCCTGCCACCCAGACTGGTCACTGAGAAACCAGCATTGAATTGATCCAGACCCCATAAATGTGGGTGTCAGTGAGGAGGCCCTGGAAATCCCTAGCATAGGAATGGACTTTGGGAGCCCATTTTACATAGAGGCACACTCCCTCAGCCTAGACACATGGGGGACTGCCTAGGCCCTATCCCAAAGGATTTGCTAGATTCTGAAGACCCCCCCCCTTGGAAGGCCTCACTCTCCCTGGGGAACAGAAATGGTATTGGATAGGTAGGGTGTTAGTGGGAGGTAGGGGAGTAGGGGAAAGAAAGGGAACGGGGATTGACATGTGAAACAATCTTGTTTCTAATATAAATTAAAAAGAAAAATTTTAAAAAATGTCCATCCAGAAAGTGGTTGGTTACTCCACAACATCCATTCTATTGTTGCACCAGTGGGCATGCCTTGTGGCACATGTGAACTCAACAGTGTCTGTAACAGCATATGCAAGTCCTGCACAAGCTCAGGCTGGACAAATCCGTATATGGAAAGGGGAGTTGGCTCCATGTTTACCTATGTCTTGGAACTCAAAATGTTCAGTTTAGTTCCAGGTACCAACAAGGCTGTGGCTGTGGTTTCTATAGAGCAGCTGACCTTCATTAGAATAGCTACCTTGCATTAAGACATTCTGTTTATGTCCATTGTGTAAAAGTGGCTGTGAACATGCTGAGATTTTTTTTTCATGTGTCTCTGAAGCTTTTCCATACCTTATTCCCATTCACTGCACAGGTAGCCATAGAGACTAGTTTGTCTTCATACAAAGCTTTAATTAGCCTAGCACAATACTTTAAAATTGTGTTCAGTGTTCTGATTTATCCATGAATCAGCAAATTATTCATAGAGAATGAAGTTAAATCATCCATTATTGCTGGTCCATGTTGACACAAGGTCTCTGGCTGCTTTCCGTGCTTTGTGTTGTCCCTAATTACTGAAAATCAAGTCATTGCATTGTTACAAATAGAATACAGGCATTAAAGTAGAGTCTAAAGTAAATTTCTATTTTATACTTTATATTGTAGATTGTCTTGGAATATAAAATTTATCTTTGGCTGAATAGAAGTCTGGAAGGAACAGCAAGTCTGTGGAAACCTTTCACAGACTCTCACTGGCTTGTGTTATTTAGTTAGCTTGCTTTTTAAAAAAAAAAATTTGGTTTGATTTTAAACAAAGGATCATGGGTTGATAGTTCTCTCTCAATGCATTTTCTGTAAAATATAATTAGTGTTGTGTTTCATAGCCACAGTTCAAATTTTGTGACTATTCCTGAAAATTTCTTCAAACATCAAGGATAGGTAATCAACAGGCATATCAGTTAAGTTTTTCCATGTTAGCTTTTCAGAAGTAAGTTTATTGTGGGTATGGAGACATGGCTAAGAGGTTAGGAGTACTATCTGTCCTTTCAGAGGACTGCGGTTCCATTCGAAGTGCCCATGTAGCCGCTCACAACTGCCTGTAACTCCATCCAGTTCCAGTTTTTCAAATGCTTGCCTCTGGCTGCTGTGGACACTGGGAATGCACATGAAATAAAAGTAAATTGTTTCTAAATAGTAATTCTGTTGCAAGTTAATTATGTGCATAGTTCAAGTCAAATAATGCATTGGTTTCTGAATGTTTCTAAAAAGTTGTTGTATCTCTTTTGAGAAATATTCTTTAGCACTCGACTGTGACAGGCACCAAAAGAAGCTTTGCTATAAAGTGGGATCCAAGAGACAGGATCTCTGATCCCAGAGTTTATATATTTGTAGACATGTATACTAACGACATCTTCTCATACTAATATATTTTTAAATATCAAAAAAATACCTTTTTTTTTTCTTTTTAGGTAACCTCTCTTATTTGTTTGTTTTGTGTTGTTGTTGTGTTGTTGCTTTTGAGACAGGGTCTGATCTACCTGTTGTAACTCAGGCTAGTCTTACATTCACAATCCCTCTGCCCCAACTTCTCAAAGGGCTCATTGTAGGTACATGCTATCAAACCTTGTGAGTATTTGCATCTGGCACATTGCTATGTAATCCTCCAGAATATTTTGTTAGTGTATTAACAAATCTAGTTTGTACCATGAAATCTTCTGGAAATAATTCATAAACTTGCATCTCTGCAACTTCCCATCATAGATAGGTCTATGCTATTTAAGATGATACAGTATTTGTCTTTTTTTAAAAATTAGCTTCCAAAATGTTAGGTTTCTGCATAAGTTTTTTTCCACACATGTTAAATTTTAGTTGGCACTCCCTTGACTTCTCCTTCATGTGCATCCTTTGTTCTCCCACTCTAACATTTCATCACACTTAGTATTCTCTTTCATGTTTCCCATTTCTGTCCCTTAAAGCACTATTCCAGAGAACCAGAGTTCAATTTCCAGAACTATGCCTGGCAGCCCACCAAGGCTCCATTTTTTAATTGGGTTATTTGGTAGTTTGATTTCTAGTTTCTTGAGTTCTTTGTATATTTTGGAGATCAGCCCTCTGTCAGATGTGGGATTGGTGAAGATCTTTTCCCATTCTGTACAGAGCCATTTTGTCTTGTTGACCTGTTCTTTTGCTTTACAGAAGCTTCTCAGTTTCAGGAGGTCCCATTTATTAATTGTTGCTCTCAGAGTCTGTGCTACTGATGTTCTATTTAGGAAGTGGTCTCCTGTGCCTATCTGTTCAAGTGTATTTCCCACTTTCTTTTCTATGAGGTTCAGTGTGGATGGATTTATATTGAAGTCTTTGATCCATTTGGACCTGAGTTTTGTTAATGGCAATAGATAGAGTCATTTGCATTCTTCTATATGTTGAGAGCCAGTTATACCAGCAGCATTTGTTAAATATATTTTCTTTTTTCCATTTTATATTTTTACCTCCTTTTCAAAAATTAGATGTCCAGAGGTGTGTGGGTTGATATTGGGGTCTTCGATGTGTGTGTCGATTCCACTCTTGTAATGTTTTATTTTATTTTACATCACACACACACACACACACACACACACACACACACACACACACACACACACACACACACACACACCTGTATGTCTTTACTATTCATGATCCGTATTTTTTTCTTTACATTCTTCTAAGTCTTTTAAAAAGTGCCTTGGAATTCCAAGGCATTTGTAAAACTCTTCAGTTTTTTTTTTTTCCCAGGGTGTGTGTGTGTGTGTGTGTGTGTGTGTGTGTGTGTGTGTGTGTGTCTCTGTATCCCATACTGGCCTGGTACTCTCCTGCCTCAGTGTCCCAAGTGCTGGGACAGCAGGTGTGTGCCGTCCTGCTTGACTGTCTTAAATGATTTTTTCCTTCAGTGCTTTTCAAATGGAACACTCAACCACTGGGTTTTTGAAGGTTGAATGTTCACTGATTGAAAATTCCTGTAAAGCTCCTTTGTAATCCCACTGTTCTAGGCGTAATAGTCACAGGCTTGACAGTTGACTGTAGTCCTTACCATGAAAGAATTCTTAAAGACCCAGTTTGGGTGGTTGATGCTTTTATTTTAAATATATAGGGAATTGGTAAAGGGAGGATTTTTAAACTATTTCCTGATATTAGCACAAAATTGTAAAATGTTTCAAAATTCACTTGAATTTTTCCCATTTTTTAAAAAGCACTTTTGAGAAGCCAGGACTCATCTAGCTAAAACTGCCTTGTGACAGCTTGGCCTGCAGTCTGTTTGTGCTCTTGTCTTTTATGTTGGCTTGGTAATTTTATAAAGACTAAGATGTGGTGATGGGTTATTTAACTTGTTTGTTGTGGAAATAATACGTCTCTCATTTTCCATTTCATGATAGAGAGAACATTTATTCTTAATTATTTGTAAATCATTGAGAGATAAATACTGAATGCTAACATTTTCAGTTAAGCAGAAGTTATAATGTGATATTGGTTGAAAATTAGACAGCTGTCCCATTTTATAAAAACTGATGGGAACAAAATGTGTTTCTTCCTCTTAGGTTATTGTTCCATCAAATACAATATCTGTGAATGGGAAGTCAGGAATCAGCCACACCATGTCCTCTGATGCCCAGGACAGTCGCTGACACACTTCACTGACCAGATTTCTGTCTACAAGGAATATTGGCAAATATATATTCAGATGTACATTAATATATAAATCTGTTCAACAATAAGCATTTGTGTTAATGGATTTAATACCAAAAGAAAAAGAACTAGAATTTATAATTTATATAATGTTTGGTCTTTTTTGTCATAACTATTGCTGCTTTAGAACTTTAAACAAGGTATAAATGACTTTTCTTTCCCCATGGTGAATAATCACTGCTTAATGATTGTTTTCTTTTATTTATGGACATACTGTGTACCATGCAACAAAGGTATAAATTGAGATTTATGGACATATTGTGTGACAGAGAAATAGGCAAGCACAAACTAACATTTACTGCCTCAGCGTTAGGCTGTAATTAGAAACATAAATTATAATAAAGCCTTTATGCTGAAAGATATGGAAGACTAGTATATAAATAATGCTCAGTTATTATTATTGAAGAACCACTTAGTGTTGAGACTTATTTTGTGCATTCTTTAATTACAAGTGAGTTACAGATCTATAGGAAATAATAAAGTATTTTTAAATATAATACTTTAACCTTTAGAAGTTAAATTGCACAAGGAGACTTTAAGATGTTTTCTGTATATAATTATGATGTTACACAGATATTACATATTTTCTAATGCCAGAAGTCTTAAAACATTCCTGTGAAAATGTTGATATATTATGACAGATATTTCACATTTGTTATATAAGGAGAATAGGGGCTGGTTGATGTCCACATTTAATACTTTAAAGACTAGTTAGAAGTTTCCAAAATCCTGATTTAATTAAAATAAAATGCTAAGCTAGTCATTTATGTAGCTCACATGCTAATCGTCTAAATAATAATATATATTTTCCTGAAAGCCAAACTGGTTGAAGGAAACAATACTTGATGTGTTGGCTTACAGTGATTCTAGGGTCTAGAACATCTTGGTGTCATGAATTTCCTTAAGAATTTAATTGTTCCTTTATTCCAGAAACTGTCCAAACATCCTGACACTGTTTTGACTCCTAATAAAACTACTGGGCTATATGCCATTTTGACAAACGTGAATTTTTTTTTCCATTTAATAAAAGCAAGTTATATATTTGAAGTCTGTTATTTCTGGTGTGGTTTGTGTTAACTAGCATGTTTGAATAACTTACCTGAAGAAAATGCATTTTGAATAACTTTTATGTGTATGAGTGTTTTGCCTGCATGTCCATACAACCTATGTGTGCAGTGTCTGTGGAGACCAAGAGAAGGCACCGGGTCCCCAGAAACTGGTGTTTCATACAGTAGTGAGCTGATAGGTGGGTGCTGGGAACTGAATCCGAGTCCTCTGAAAGAGCAGCCAGTGCTCTTAACCACTGAGCCATCTCCCGAGCCCTGATGAACACATTTCTGTCAACCATTACCACACAAATAATAGTAGCGCTTTCGAGTTATCAGACTTCCCAGTGAATAGTTAAGCCCTGATGTTCTGATGCCAGCACATAGAATATTTAACCTGTTTTCTGATGCTGCTGTTTCCTTGTTTGAAGCTTAAGAGTGTGAACCTTCTGCACAGGTAATTAAGTTCTTTCATTTTAAACCAGTTGAGAAAAGAACAGGTTTTTAAAAATCAGTGTTTGTACAATTGTCTATTTGAGGAAAACCGTGGTCTCTACTTCAAACCATATCATCAATGTGTTTGTGTGGGATTCGAGGCTTTTAAAATAACATTTAAAAACTTAGACTATAATTTGTGCTTTCAGACTGTAGCATGTGAAAACTTGTTTAAAATACATGATGCTGTCATAAAAATATGATGAATTTCAAGCCTTTAAGAAGTAGAATGTATATAATTACCGTAAGGCAGATAAGGTATGTGTAATAACATGTTTTAGATATGTGAAGGAGTTAATTTGTTGACAGGATGAGGAAATCTAAAAGGCTAGCAGACATGGAAAATAGGTTTTCATTGCTAATCAGAGAAACAGTACACAGTAAGTAGGAAATATATAGTTTACCATCTCAGCAAAACTGCAAGGTCCAAAGTTAGTAAGTAAGCATCAAAAACAAGGAACAGCAATGGGCGATGTCTGGCTCTTGCTAGGAAATACCCAGCAAATCAGAAGTCCCTTGCCTATATCCTCAAAATTATTCAACATGCAAAGGAGACATTAACAAGGTGTGACAGCCTTGTATGCATCCTTTCAGTATTCCACCAGTATATATTCGTGATAGGTTCATATACAATACCCAATCAAGCTAGAGTCCTGGGTTAGCACAGATACAGCAAAAAATTACAAGTGAAAAGAGAAAGTTGTAAAACAAGATGAGTTTCATGAGATCAGTTACAGAAAGTATAAAATATGTACAGAAGTGATTCTGTACATTATGGTTGAGCACATAGAAAAAAAAAAATCTCCCACACTTGGTAATGGCTGGTCATTTATAGGAGGCAGATGAGGAAAGCAAGTGAGAATTATGGGAGCCATCAACTGTGTTGCTGTGATTTCTTTTATAAACTTGTTTGAAAATAAAGACTTCTTACAGCCCAGATTCTAATCTACAGAAGTAGTCTTAATAGTTTATAGGTTTCATGGGATGGAGGGGATGTGTCAGTCTCTGAGTCATCCATTAGGAATCTTGAAAAGTCTTGCCCACACTGCGTTAAAATTTTGTCACCATCTCCTTAGCTGAGAAGTCTATGACAAATTGTTTTTCCCCTCATTTCCTTGAGGTAATAACAAGAATACAAGACGGGAATGACCCAGAAACAACTTCAGATTATGTTGAACAGCTATACAATGTTGAATAGCTAGGAATTTCACCCTGATTTTCACCTTGATGGGTTCTGTACAACATTTTAAAATTATAACTTTATTAATATTTTGATATTAATAACTTAAATGTTTTGATCAAATTAATCTAATGGATTTCTAAGGTCTTGAGTATCTATTGGACAGAGCTGCACACTCATGTTCTTAAGCAGCTTGACTTTGGTATACTAATATTATTCTGGAAGAGAAAGTTTTTATACCTAAAAGATCTGTCACATTTGTTTGCCATCTTCCTGTTTATTACTACACTATACCAAACTGCCTGGAGTGTAGGTATTTGGGATCAAGTCTCAGGTCTGTCTACCATTTTAAAATCATGGGATTTGGGAGAAAATATAACTTTCTTTTTTTTGTTTTCTGAAAAAAAAAAAAAGAACTGCTATATCTATCTCATAGAGATGATTTTAAGGATTAGGTGGATTTTAAAGATGTTTGACACAATTTTCTTCCAGATGCACCTGTTTTTCACACATAGCAAGAATTACACTTCTTTGTTTTTCGGGGGGAATGGCCCTCTGTCACATTTCACCTACATGTGCTGCCAGGTCAGGCATTGGCAACAGAATCCACTCTGTAACTTAATCAACGTCCTTGCAATGAGACCAGTCTTTTTCCCAGGACCAGAGCTGGTGGTTCTGAAGACCAGGGCTCAGTTGATTCACATGTCTATGGTGTGCTTTCTTCTCACTATCAGGAGACACTTAACTACAAAAGAGCCTAGATTCACACCCATTATTCTTAACTATTATGTCTTCTAAAATAAAGGGGATTTCCAGCTGAAGGTCACAGTGTAGATCCTTGCCTAAAATGATGTCTTTGAAATTATTTGAAATACCCATATTTATTTGATACTTTAAACTTGCATAGGATTTTCATGTTACTTGATTTCCTGTGCAACAAAAAAATCTGGAAGATAGCTGGGTTACAAATACACTCAGCCAGACACATCTCAGGATTTTGCATTCCCAGATGGTTCTTTCCAATGATTAAATGTCACAAATGCCAGTGAGGTAAACAGTGCTGGTTTCCAAGGTCTTCAGAGCTGTAACCCACTTAGGTTCCTTTTAGCCTTTTTAACCCCCTCCATTTTATCACTTTCTTGCAAATTTCCAGCCCTAATACTATGGCTTGTCCTGTGAGCAGATAAACTACTCACCAGAAGACAAAAAGGCCACAGTATATTCTCTCAAAGAACTTTTCTCACAGGTGTTTTGGGGAAAATTGTAGAAAGTTCTGGTAATTTATGTACAATTCTTGGTTAGATGCCTTGTGGACTTTAAAAATTCATTTGAAAGTTGGACACTTTGTTTTTCTTGGCGTAAAAAACTATTCTGCATTTCCAGAAAAAAATATTTCCAAACAACATTCATTTATTCTTATTTTTTTAAATCTCCTATTGTGGTGGATAAGTGATAGCCCACATTATTTTCTGCCTTTCAATGCACACAGTTGCTCTGTGACTTGGCAGGCATTCTCTGTACAGAGGCCAGGCCCATTATCCTGCCTGTAGAAGCGTCTGGTTTTGTGCCTAATATAAAGACAGAGGTGACATTGTACTGGTTCTGAGGCATCTCAAAGGTTGTATATTTTGGTCTCTGGACCTATGCTTCAGACAGTGCTCTGAGAAATCTGTGAGGGGTCCTGAGGGAAAGGTGAAGGGTGGGGAGATAGCAGAAGCAACTGCTAAGTCTGGCCCACTGGCATGAGCCATCCTAGCCCAAATCAATGGGGGTCATAGAGCCTCACCCAACATTACATTGAGATGTGCTATTAGTTAGAGCTATGGTGTGATAGTCGGTGAAATGTACCATTTTAAATGTGATTGAATGACTCTAACTGAATTCACAGATTCATTCAGTCTGTTCTCTAGTCTTCTCCAGTCTTTTCAAAGGCTCTTTGGACTTATTGTATAGCTTGATGGATAACATACAAGATGTACAGGTAAATTTATGTATCTGCTAAATATTCTTCAATATGAGTAGTTCTGTGTAGTATCAGGGACACACATTTCCCAATTATTTCAGAAACTCCATTTTGACTGGCCATCCTATAACAAACTTTCCCAAGTTTGTTAATATTATTTTTTTTGAAAATCTGTGAAGAGTGAGAAAAAGCAAGAGTTGGGGTCGACTAAATAAAGCAGAGGAGACAACAGGTGTAGGCCTAGCTGAAGTGAGCCATGAGCTTGCGTTACAGAATAAAGAAGTTCAACCTTTGAAGTGCTGGATAGCTTACCATCAGAGGAATCTCCATATCATGAGTGAGGAGACGTTCATTGATGAATTCTCAGTCAAGAATTCAGTAACTCATATGAATGTTCTCCGTACTTGAAAGCACTGGTTCTCAACCTTTCTAATGCCTCGAACCTTTAGTATAGTTCCTCGTGTGGTGACCCTCAACCGTAAATTTATTTCATTTCTACTTCATAACTGTAGTTTTGCTACTGTTATAAATCATAGTGTCAACATTTGATGCATGACTCCTGTGAAAGGGTCATTTGACCTTTAGAGAGGTTTCCACCCACAAGTTGAGAACCGCTGTGACCAAGCCCTCAAGGAGTCTAGAAACAGCTTCATGGAGGGGAGGTACAGATGCAGAAATATGGAGGGATGGTTTTATGTTGTGGGAGATATTCCATAGGAACACTTGGTGGTTGGCAGATGCTAGGAAGGCTTTAGGGTAGATGGACACAAGCAGGAAGGTACTTATGCTGTGAGTGTGAGTAAATCCTGTGGATGGTGTACAGTGTGAATGTCGATAACAGAGTGCACATTATCCTGGGGTGGTTGGTTAGCTGCTGTATTTGATAAGCAGAAACACTGGCCATTTCCATTCTCCTAGGCATATGAAACAGATGGCTAACGCATGATTCCAGAACTCCAAGCGACATTTCATGAAATAAGAGTATCACACTGGCAATACAACTTACCCATCTTCCCCTAGGTTGTCTCTTCCTTTTTAGCATTTGGAAGCCATTTATATATTCTTCATACTAGCCCATTATTAGTTATATGAATTTTAAATATTTTCTTCATGTCTATACCTTCTTGTTTAAAATTTTAGTTAACTCAAATTATAGTAATTGGACATATCAATATATTCTTTCATGATTGAGGGTTTTTTTTTTTTTTAATTATGGTTAAGAGATCCTTCAGCACTCTAGGGTCAGAAAGGACATCCGATCCCATTTAGTTCTGGCATTCTTTAGATTTTCTATCTCAGAGTTAAGGTCTGATGTCTGCAGTGTAAGATAGCAATCCATTTTCTTTTTCATCTCTAGATGAAA